AGCCCCAAACCCCCGAACACCCGCGCCCCTCAGCATCCGCCCCTGCCCAATGGGGGTGTGTTGTGTTTTGATGCGAATTATGCAAATACTACCCCTATTGCAGCCCTAAACCGCAGAGAGTGACCCCCGCCGCCGCCCACCGCCTCCCTATTTCTCTATTACGCTGGCGTCGGCGTTGCGGCGGTGTTTGTGGTTTTGTTTTTGCCGCTAGTTAGCTGCGCTGGCCGACGCATCTGATTAACAAAATTAGTTTAGAAAACTCCGCTCTCGCGTTCGAAACAAACAAAAATTGGTTCGCTTTTTTCGACAAAAGGACTGCAATTGCTCTAACAGTCGCGATGGCCTAGGATGATTCGCCGTCTGCTCTTATTTTCGGAAACTGAAAGTGCAACACGAAAGATCTAAGCCATGGTACGGAAACGGAAATGCAATGCAAGCTCAAAAATACTTTCAGAAAGGAGAAAAAGTTTTGTGTTACCAGCATAGTTTGGATTTAAAACTCAATTCACCTTTCAAGGGGGAAAACATGCTCCAAGTAGATAGTATCTATAAGATACCAGTATTTAAGTTTGTCATGTGCTACACCCAGCTAACTGGCATTAAAGTCATGTTTCCCAATCTCACATTAAATCGCGGCTGGGGGAACCTTGCAGCACAGTCTCCGGTTCGCTTTAATTTTCATTAGAAATGTGTGCGTGCTCCGTGTTCCCCGACCTCGACGGGGTTTCGTTAACCCTTTTGTGATCTATTTCCACGCCGTGGCATCGTATCGGGCATCGTTTCTGTGTCGCGAGAAGGCGACTCCCGACGCGCCGAAGACTGTTCTTGAATGAAAGTCAAAGTAAAAACGGCCAAGCGGCAAAACAACAAAAACCTAAACAAAACACAGAACACAGAACGACACACGGGTCGAAGGGGCTCGGCAACTAGAAAGCGCGCCGGAGAGCGCCAAACTTTGATAAGGCGGGCAAAACAAACGGGGGGCTGTCGGAAGGGGCGGAACGGGGGCTTGTCGCCGGGAAAAACAAGCAGCAACCGCGTTCCGCTCCGCTCTCCGCTGCCAAGGGACACGGCCAAAAGGACGAGACGTCGCAGAGGAATGCAGCGCAAGAACGAGAACAACACGAGGGGGTGGCAGTGGGCTGTGGGTGGCAGGGAGGCGGGGGAAGGGGTGCTCAGGTGCGTTGCCGGGTTGAATGCACGCCGCGCCAGAGCGAGACGGTCGCTGCCGCTGCATGCTCCCACCGTCTCTCTCTGCGCATGCGGGAAGCCCCCTCGGAAAAGGGGGGAGGGGGGGGTGGTATGTAATGCGGGTGGGTGTGGTGTGCAGCGGGCGCCAATGTGCTCGGCGGGCTGGGACAGGTGCAATTTATTTATTTATTTCGATTCATTTCCGCTTTTGTGTGGGACTAAATGAAAACTCATTTCCCTTTGATGTGTGCTCGCTCCTCTTTCACTTTTCCTCGGACTCTGCCAGAGCGGGATGGCCGTAGCCAGCGGACGCGGAGAGAGCGAGAGGCAGCCGTCGCTCTCTCTCTCTCTCTCTCCGTGCTCTGTTTTTGGGTGCTGCTGCGCGATAATGAAAAAGTGTAATGCACCAAAAAGTGACATAAGGCTGTAAATTAAGCAACAACAACGACAACGGCTTAAACTCTGCCCTGTACATATGTGCCGTGCTGTGCTTGCATACATAAAAATGTGTGCGGCACATAGGTGCGGAAATGTATGTGCATATAATCGGTTATTTACAGTTATCTGCATATCCTGAACGAGAGCCAGCTCCACCCCCCTCCCCGGGTGTTGGTGGGTGGCATCGTGGCTCTGGCATTCATCCCGGGGCGGCCCACGTACGCTCGGAGCCCCGCGAGGCCTCTTTGGGTCCTGGTCAACTCCTTTATGTTTTCCCATCAAATTAAAAGCCTTTTCAGTGAAAATTACAAAAATGGTAATCGCCTGTCTATATGCCCGCACACCACGATAATGTGTGCCTGCGCGGGCTCTATACAATTTCTGTGCCGGCTAATCGATGCTCTTTGCCGGCGGATCTGGGGACCACCTGAAATGAATCCCCTCTAAGCTTTCTGTTTTCAAGTTTGGCTATGAGATACCTTCTACTTACCGACTTCATACAAAATATGTTTAAAGACCCGTGTTAACACACTATGTCTTTGTTAAAAGGACATTTAAAAGGACACTGTCTATCCGTCCGACAGTCCGTTTCTACGCAACCTAGTCTCAGTTTTGTATGAGGATAGAACTTTTCCAAAGTCTATAAACACACATATGTAGATCCAAACGGATTTTTAGATTGTTTTTTAATTGGACGATTATATCAAATGAAAATGGTGTGAAAAAAGTATAGCTTTATTGTTTTTGATTATATATTCTTCCTGTCTTAGATCATTTTTAGAGACTATAATGTCATATAATGACATAGGAAATATTGGTTAACGGTTTCTTGGTGGATATGGTTTTACCTGTAAGGGGTATATAAACTTCTTGCTTGCCGAAGATAACTTCCGCTTAGAGTTAAAGTGAATATCGTATCCGTTGGAATGTTTTTTATTTCCGTTTCCGATCATATAAATTATATATTCTTGACCAGGACCGCTAGCCTAGTCGATCTAACCAAGATCTCGGAAAATATAAAACCTTGAAGAGGGGATCTAGGGGATCTAGCGGAGAGCCACGCCTAATCTTGCGCCCATAACGCTATAGTCTATTTAGCCCCCACATTCTTTTGTAAAAGTTTAAGAGGGATTTTGTTTTAATTATAATCAATCTACAAGCAGAGATCAAAGCAGACCATGCACTAAAAAGTTATAAGCGAATAAAGAAGACGACGGTAGGTGGTGCATTGCCGTGGTGTGCAATCTCCATAATAGACGATTCGCCGCTAGCATGTCTTCATCTCCCTCGCACTCCCTTTAACTAAGTAACGGGTATTTGATATTCGAGGCCATCGTTCTCTCTTGTGAAATGGTAAACTACATGCCAGCGTTACGAAACCTAGCGGAAGGCCGCGGTTCTACTGACCATGCCAAAGCCTGTTTAACTTAGTTAGTCCTAACTTTTCAGTTACGTAACTTTTGGAATGATTCTCAGAATTAAAATCAATAAAATTAAATATCAGTTTACACTTTTACAAAATTATCAAAACGGTGGCGATAGGTTTTGGCCTAACGGGCGAGAAAGTGGAACCTTGTTGAAATAAACTTGCGCAGGAAGCCCAAGAACCTGCATGACAACTCCCAGCACTCCAGCTCTAATAGTTTCCGAGATCTCAGCGTTCATACGGGCAGACGAACATACATAGCTTGCGTTTCTGATCAAGAATATATATACTTTATACGCTTTCTACTACCTGTAACAAACTTTCTTCGAATGCAATATATCCTTTTACTCTAAGAGTAACGGGTATTCGGAAGCTTCGCGAGAGAGAATGTCTCTTTCATTTTCTATCTCTCTAACTTTATCTACAACCAAGAAGAAGTTGGGAATGGTTTCGAGACTCCTGCTTCTCAATATCAAGAAAAAAATGCTTTTTGAAAACCAAGTCGAGCACACTTTACTCTTGGTTTCGAGTGCACTCGAACTAGAAAAAGTGAGAAGAAAAAATACTCAGATCAAGCAGATTTGATCTTTGTTTTTTAGATCTCTAGTTTTCTCAGTGTATGTATATACTTTCTGGGGTTGGAATAGCTTCCTTCTTTCTGTTACACACTTTCCCCCAAACACAATATAACCGTTTACTCTACGAGTAACGGGTATTAAAGGGGTTATAATACCCTAAGATACCCCTTACCCTTCCATTTCACTCTACAAGTAATGGGTTCGTAATCGCTAGTGTGGGGTGCAACAATTTTTTTTATATCATTGAGGCAGCCTAGCTGATCTGGTGGCAGAATTCAGCAGCAGAGAATTGTATTGCTGCTAAGAGTGATTTTAACGCTCCATTGGAGATGTGATTACCCCGGTACACAAGTCTTTGCTAATGCTAATTTGGATGAAGGCCACGAGGGAAACCCCACAGCCTGCTCTGCCAGTCAATTCATCTTTTTGCGTTCTATTTCTCTGGTTGCTCTTTCTGTTGGCTCTGGAGCATATGCTTCGCAGTGAGCGGGCCGGCTGAAATTTACATAGCCAAAGTCGACAAAGTCGCAAAAAGCAGCAGCGCCCCAAACCGGCTTGCCAGCGCACACACGCGCAGCACTCACCCACATATGCGAGCTCCACACAAGATAACAGCGTCGACAAGAAGAACAGCCGAATACGACAGAAACCGGCTTTTTGTGTGACCTAATATCTGAGTTAACTACTTTGGCAAAAAGACGAACAGAGTTCGCACTGGAGTAGGGTGTTCCGTGGAGTGCGCCTTTCGCCAGAGATAAGATTAGGGTGCACCAGGGCGGAGGGGCACTGCAAAGGGCGCCTTATCAGCGAGGCGGCCACAAAACAGAGAGCTTTCGCCGCCGCACACACTCGAACCTTCGGTCTTGGCCAGCTCCGTGAGCAGGCCAGCAAAATCGCAGTGATTTGGCAGGGTGCCCTCCCACTGCCGGCCAAAAACAACAAACGCAGTTGCCGGAGCAACAACTATCTGAAGTTGGCTTTTATTTGGATTGTGTATACGCCGTGTGTGACGCGGCGACGGTGAGGCTGATGAGGTACCGAGGTGCCAGGGGGGCGGAGGTCGAAATCGGAATCGGAATGGGAATCTAAATGCGAATGTGAATCTGAAACTAAATGGGAGGGCGAGTGGAAGCTTTCGTTCGCTCGCAGTCGACTTTTTGCACCGGCAAACAAACTAAGCAGCCGGCAAATGTTTTTGTGCACACTCTCCGACCATCCCGCCCCCTCCCCCTGCCGATTCAGGTTCGGATGGGTTCTCTCTGCACTTGACGTGCCCTCTCGGCAGTGCTCTAGTGTTTTACATTGTTGTCGTTCGTATTGGCGCCAAACGAGAGTGTCTATTGTTGGCTCTGCGACGTTGCCGCGCTTCAGTCGCGGACTTGCTTAGATGGCGACGTTGCCCGCTTCGTGGGAGAACCTCGGGACCCGGAATCCGGCTGGAGGCCCTTCGAGGTGGCAGCCCTCACCTGCCCGAGGCCTTCCGCAATCCGATCCCGATCCCGCAACCGATCACCCTCCCCCTCGCACCCCTCGTACTCCACGAACTGCACGTATCCATCGCAGTCGTAGTCGTCGTAGTCGTAGTCGTCGTATTCCCCGTCCTCCTCGGAGTCCACTTCCAGTTGTCCACCAGCCATTACAGCCATCTCAAAGTTGCCCTGCCGCCGCAGGCTCTGCAGGTCAAGAAAAACGTCCTCATCCTCCATGAACTCCACGTCGCTGTCCGCCTCGAGGGTGCTCTCCCCCAACAGATCCAGTCGCACAAACCCGCCCAAAACCGAGTTCCTTTCCGATATGCGACAGGGAAGGCTGATATTGATCGTATCATCGCTCTGAGTCCGATTCCTTCCCGGCAGGTGGCGCGGTCTGAAGATGGGAGTGCGCCTGTAGAGCTTCAGCAGGAGGGTGAGGGCCTTGTTCCTGGCCATGAGGAGCAGCTGGCCCATCCACGGCTGTCTGCGGCTGATCAAAAAAGAGGCTCGCATGGCGGACTAATCGAGCGGTGTTTTGTGTTTGTTCTGAAAAATTCAACTTTCTAGCACCCCGAGTTGTCAAGTGAGTCTGTTGTTCAGTTGCTTGAAAATCGGGTTTAGTACACAATACAATGAGTAAATCTAAGTCTGAAATTTTCGGCTCCTCGCACAAGGGTTGTCAGCAGAAAGTCCACTTGCCGAAGACGCCATCGGCTGCCGGGACGGATCCCCACGTTGCTGACCTAAGCCTTTGCGGAAAGCCCAGCTTCCACGTCTGTCGCGGAAGAAAGTCTCCCGGTATGACCGAAGTCGACAGCTCTTCAGACCTCAGACAACCCCACAGCCTAAATCTTCAGTACACCGCTCTAAAGGTCCAAGGCATAATGAAGCACCAACAGAACATAATCGAACTGGTTGACGATAATAAGAAGAATATGGCTGATCGAAAGGGTTCCCGGATAAGGGATGACTACGAAAATTAGGCGCCACAGAAAGCCGTGTTATTTGTTTAAGTTTTCCAGTTCAATTAAAATATACCATAGTGACATCGGCACCTGATGCATTTGTTCAACATTCTTAAGATCTGGCCACCTCGAATTATCCGCTCAGCTTTGCCATCGTTCGCTCGGTGATATTTGTTGCTTTGTTGCGATCAATTCGCTTTATCATTTTGTTTTTAATAAATATTTATAACTGAGCACTTTTGTTTTTCTACTGATAGTACCGGATAGGACGTAGCCCCCCGTTGCCCAGGCTCAACAACAACGCAACTGATTAAGCCAACGCAGCCGATGGCGATAAGTTTATATATAGGATTTGGCTTGTGTTTCCATTGAATAGTAGAGCACTACGTGGTAAATACGAACGAACTTTCTCAACTCCAACGAATCTCGGACTTACAAAACCACTTCACAAGGTCATATCACTGCATAGATCGTTTTCGAAATGTTTATAGGCAGTACTAGAATCTTCATGAAACATTTTAACTCTCTAGTTCTCAGGGCTCGCAAACTGCTCCACCTAGAAGGGAAAACTTAAATGGCTAGTAGCTTTTTAGTGAATGGTCCGATTGTTTTAGTTTTTGGCATGTAGATTGGAATTGATAAACAATCCAAAATCTCATTCACACTTTTTTAAAGGTCCCATTGTTTCTGACCGTGGTGAATTCCTTTTTCGTTTTTGGGACTAGATAAGTTTCTCATTGCATTAGGAAGCTGTTCCAAAAAACTATCCAACAATAATTTGACGAAAGAAATTCATATTAGGTATAAAGGGAACCATACAAGTTTATTATCGACCAAAATCAGTGTGGAGTCCGTGAAGGCGACTACTATGTACATTGGTCATATAGCGGCATAGTTCAAAATCTTATATAATGGTTCAATCCTAACGAACGAAAGGCAATGCATCAAATTAAATAATTGCATGCCAAGACTTTTGAAAAGTCAAATGGATCCGGAGTAAGAGCAATAAAAGTGTAAAAGTAAACGTTTAGAAAAGCAAAGCTGTTAGGGCCAACGGGTGCCAGCTTATAGGAATTGCTGATTTTTTTTATGAAAAAACGAGTCCGATGCCACCTCATTTGATTAAATTCGATACCCCATTCAAAGTTTAGGCCACAAACAAGACTTTGTGTTTCTTTTCAAAAGTAAAACTGTTGTCTTTATGTTTTTTTAAATTCCCAAGTCGAAGTCTTATGGGGATCCTAGTCATAGACTAGTGGAATTTTCACTTTCGTCAAAACTAAAACTTTTGATATTAAACGATGAGGTGGAGTGTCATGACGATCGCCCTACCAACACACAAAAGTTCTCATATTAAACGTTTTGACGAAAAATGATTCTACATTTAACTTAAAAAATATATTTTCCAAACTTTTCTTTATGAAAACCTTTAAGATTATTTAGATTCCGATTCCCTAAGTTCTGGTCTAGCGCATGTTGGTTATCCAAATATGCTACGCCCATTGACGAAAACAATAAAGATTTTCTAGCGCCCACAATTAAAAGAAAAAATTTTAATGGGATTTTGTTTAGACTAACTAAATCCATCTACCCTCCAAATAATGTTAAAATCGGACGATCATTAAATAGTTTTCAGAAATTAAAGTTATTCGCGTTAGGTGGCGCCAGTTTGGGGAACCGGAATTTGTCGATCTGGAGACCCCGTTTTGAAAGAATAAGAGTTAAATTGTTTAATATAGCCCAGTGCCCTTCTCTAAGGCCCACAAATCGTAAAAGTTTGTGACTCCCACATTTTGAAGTGTACATTTTTTTATTCTACTTTGCCAATATCCATTGGATTGCCAAAAGTGTTGTAAACTGGACCATTAGTTAACAAGTTCAATTGGTCAGCTGAGTAACGGTAACGGGTCGAGGAACTAGACTATACCAGTCCGTCTTGATGTCATTACCAATAAAAACAAAATTAAATTTTGAAAAAGGGTCCCTATGGGCTTTGAATTCCTGTCTTAAATTTTGGCGCGCCGAGCCCTTCCTGCGCTCGCGACCGGTGACTGCGACTGATTTACCCACTTCTAAGCTCGGCCAGTTTCCAAATCGTAACACTTTCACGCGCTGCCGCCAAAAGAAACCACAACGCCATCCGGCCAGCAGAGGGATCTGCTCTGGGGAAGGGTTCAACCAACCCCCCTGCGGGCCAGACTCGGCCCCTTCCCACCCCAACCCTCCAACACTCCGAGGGGGCGGCCGAAAAAGGGCAACACAACCTCAGCTGCAAAGGCACGCGACGCAAGGCCGCAGTCGCAGAGACGCGTGCGTCGACTGCGGCTCATATGAGTCGCGCGACACGTACACACACTCGGGCAAGATGCACACGGGCGAGTGCCTGTGTGCACAGATGTAGATACAGCACACACACAGTCACACACGCCTCCACCGCCAAGTTGCTTTTTGCGAACTTTTTGCCGACGCTTTTTGTTGCTTTGTCCCCGCTCTCTGTCTTCCTCTGTTCGCCGTCGCTCTCTGTCTGGCACACACAGCCGGGCACAGCACAGGTCTTGAGTAGCTCTCTCGCAGCACTTGGCTCTCTCGCCGGGCGGTGCTCTCCGGAGGGCGGGTGTGGAGGCGGTGGTGGTGGAGAGGGCTGGCTGAAGTTCTCGTTCTCGTTCTCGTCGTCGTTTTGGGTTCGCTTGGTTTGATTTTCGCTGCGTTGTTGTTGTCTGAGCGCGAGTGTCCGTAAAAAGCTTTGTGCCCCAACCCCCACTCCTCCCGTCCCCTCCCGCGCCCGCTGAAGAATGTTTATTCAGTTTCTTTTTGGCTCTCCCAGCTCTCGCGGCTCCTGATGCTGCCGACGTTGGCGCCGGCCGCGACTGCGGCTTCGGCTTGGCCGTCGCCGCTTTCATGGGGTTCTTGAGCGTATGCAAAAGATTTTTGCACATATTCATCTTTTTGGCCGTTTTCGGTGCGTTTCGCGGAGCTCGCTGGCTCTTGGAGTGTTCGCGCAAATTTCCAGCATTTTGCGCGCCCAAAGAAATTGTAGTTCCCGTGTTTCTGTTCTGGTTCGGGGGCTAGCCCCAATCTTTTGTGTTCTGGATCTAGCCTCAGTTTTTCGCATTTTTCGATCCGGAATTTGGATTATATTCGGCGCCTGCAAGCAAAATCCTTTAGCTTGAAGTTTCCCCACTCGATGTCTCCAAAAACTGAACAGTGGTAGAATAGAAAATACTCCGAAGCCCCTTTAGCGCGAATTCCTGACAATCAGTAAATCGAGTTACTGAAGTTTGACTGTACGCTATTTTTGGCACTTGAAAGACGGCGATTTTGTGTTGCGTGTGCTCTTTTTCGGAATGCTTGTGCGTAGCACATTTGGCATGTGAAGTGAAAAATGATTTAATGATTGCTGCAAGTGATGATCAAAAATGATCACATCGAGTATTTACCAGATATTTCAGCTTCAAGGGAAGCACTTCGAAAGTTGGTTATAGCCTGGCAAATCTGTTGCAACACCCCCTATAGAGACTACAGTTTGCCCAGCCCAAAAGCAGAGCGGGCTATCTGCCGCATCTACGGATATTGACTCTCCCCGATGCGGTTCAACAATTTCTGTTCAACTATTCGGAACTTTTGTGTTTAGTGTTTGGCGAATGGAATTGGCGGTGCCGGCGGTTGATTCACCTACCCGTTGTGTTCCACGGCAAAAAGTATCTGTGACTCGGTGCGCTTGTGTGAGTTGTATCGCTGTCCATAAATCTGCCCGCCGAAGTGCAGTCGCCGTCGCCCAACTTGTACTTCGCGAGCGATGCCGCAGCTTTTCGACTTCAGTTGTCTGCATTAGATAGTATCGCTGTTTTGCTTTGGATGGGGCTGGCTTTGTTTTCTGCCCCCACGGAGAACGGAAAACCCTCCCTTTGGGGGCTAACGCAATCGGAACCATCAACTGGCGGCGTTTTGAACTTGAAAATTTTTTTGCTCGCTTTACCATGTTTCCCAGCTTTCCGGCATTGTCCTTGCGCCCACTCTCTGGTTCTCTCCGCGCGGCTCTCTTCGAGTCCTCTCCGGTGTTTAGACAATGCGTGTCCGTGTCGTATACAAAACACTGGTGTCTAGGGTTAGGAATAGAAGAATGGTGGGTGGTTGTGGGTGCCATGTGTCTGCGGTTGTTTCCCCTTGTCTGCGGGTGGGAGTGTGTATCTGTGTGGATCTGTGCCATGTGTTGATTTTGTTTAGGCAACAGGAAGCGCGATAAGTCGGGGGGAGGAAACCCAGAACCTAGACCCCAGGGACCCGATGAACTAAGTTTTCTTTGGCCGCACTACAATATAATTGACTGCATTTTCTTCATATATGTACATTTGTGTGTCGCTGGCAGTTTTCGGAGCTATTGAAAAGTGCCGAAAACGTTGGTCGACCTCACTCACAAAGTCACTAATCGGATGTCTTTCTCTTTTGCAGGTGCTTTTTGACTGTTTGGAACATTTTTAAACATTACGTTAAAACGTTGTTGATACTTACTGAAATATTGTTTTGTTTAAACAAATAATAATAACCACTATAATAACGTCAGTATAATACAAACGGAAGGGGAACGAAGTTCATACTATAATACAAATGTAATAACATAAAAAGCGACAACGATAATAACTTATTTGCCATCAGTTAACTTTTTATTTCAAGCCTTCTTATAAATAACTGAATAATTTGAATATAATTTCATGCAACCAATTTTACGACAAAAATCTACAACATCAACTACAACAACAACTAAAGAAAATAGTAAAACAAATAAAGTTAAATTTCAGTTGTATGAAAAAACAAAAAGTGATTTTTAGTTAGTTTCTCAAAATTTAACAAACAAAATTCACAACAAAATTTGGAATACAACTACAAACACCGCAACAACAACTACAGCAATAACAGCAACAATTACAACCACTGCAACAAACAACAACAAACAACCAACCGATAACAACTGCAAAACCAAGAAAATAATATAACAAAAGTAACAGAGGAACATAATAATATAAGAGAATTGTAACCATAATAAAGAGCCTAATTAAGCAAACTAAACCGAGAACTAAATCAAAGCGCAACAATTAACGAATAACACAACCAAAAGGAAACAGCCAACAAACCCAAACCAGCAAACAAACGAAATAGCCAACAAACACCCCAAGAAACAGCAACAGAACAAAGCAACCGAAACAAAAGCAAATAGCAAAGCAACCGAAGCAACTCAAAACCAACCGAAACAGAATCAGAACCTGAAATAGCCTTACAAATATCCCCCGAGCCCAACCCAATAGCAGAATTGAAGAGATACAACCGATAACTGAACCCGATAACAGGACAACAGGATAACAGGATAACAAATAGAAAATAGAGCAACGAAACAGCAACAAAAATGCAACAGCAGAAGAGAAATCTGAAATTCAAAACCAAAAGCCAATCAAACAAAAAAGAACACAAAAACGGAAATAGCCAAATTTGTTAAATTTATTTTGTGTGTTTTTAACGGAAAAAAAGCATAAATAAAAAGTCGAACGGAAATAATTATAAAAAACCACAAATATTTGTCGTTTATAAAATTGAACTCCTGTGTTGAAGTTTATACATTCGCCTTAGTCCTTAAATTTTGCGTTCGTCAAAAAAGCGGTCGAGAAAATGTTCTGAAAAAGTCTTGAATGAATCAAGGCGAGAAACACTTTGTAAACTTTGGGAGGTGAAGCAATTGAATTAAAAAGAAAGCGGCAAAAACTATTTCGCAAGTGAAGAGCGGCAAGCTGTAAAAGCAGTTTTGTGCCAAAGTTGCGCGATCACGAGTGTACTTTCGTGTATGAGTGTCGTGGCAGTGCTAGAATATCACGTTGACCGATGACGAGATAAATCGAATCGCGAGGAACATCACTATATCAATATATATCCATATACAAATTATTTAAAATTGTTCATATCGTGGCAAAAGCTAAATATGATCTAAAAGAAAGTAAAATCCGTTTTCGAAAGCATTTCGTACTTACAAAAAATTAACCAACATTAGTAGTGAGAAAAAGATAAACAAAACAAAAAATAAAATTCCATTCGGATAAGAGGAACGTTCTAGGCTTAAAACTAAAATATATTACTATTAACGATAATACGAGTTTTTGAGGATCCCTAAAATAAAGAAGAGACAAAAGAAGACACCGTTTTTCTGGCATTACTCAAGAGTCCCCCTACACCCACTAGCATCTTATCAGAAGAAATCATTTCAAGGAAATCGTCTTTGCAAGTCAACTTGGTAAGTGGAGTTCTTATTAAGAACTACTTAATATTTTTTATCTTACTCATAAGTATTTTATCGCCCGGTAAAAACTAGTCGAGTAAAGAGACATCATTGTTTTGATTAAAATTAGTTTAAGGACTAATGGAATATTGGGTTTCATCTAAAAGTATTGCAATTTTGGTCATTCGAGCAAGAACTTTTTGTAAAAGGCTAATAGGTAGCTAGTTACTCTTAGTCGGAGAACAAAACAAGACACACAACAAGGAAGAATGCTATAGTCGAGTACCTCGACTGTCAGATACCCGTTACTCAGCTAAAGGGACCAAAAAGAGATGGAGAAATGCAAGCAGCAAAACGAGACTGAAATGCGCCACCTACCCGCGATCTCAATATATGTATGGTTATACGGGCGGCAGACAGATTTAAGCGTTATGGGCGTTAGCGTGGGCGTGGAAAACTTTTTTGGGGTCAATCGATAGGTGTTGACGAGACTAATACATTTCAGTTAAAATTTTTTGTAGCATACAAATTAAAGGCGCCACTAGCTTGGGCGGTTTGGGGGCGTTAGGGTAGGCGTGGCTTATTCGCGTGACAGACTTGCGCTGCGTAAAAGGCTACGCAATCTAAATCTGAAATCCCAATTCTCCATCTTTAATAGTTTCCGAAATATCCGCGTTCATATGTACGATTTTTTGAAGTTGGTGGGCGGTTCGTGGGCGTTAAAGTGGGCGTTGCAAACATTTTTTTTGGGTTAATCGATAGGTATTGATAAGAACAACACATTTCAGTTAAAATTTTTATTCTAGCTTCAAAACTGTAGGAGCCACAGTTTTGGGCGGCTTGTGGGCCTTAGAGTGGGCGTGGCACACTGACGAAACAAACTTGCGCTACGCAGGAGTAAGAACCTGCGTGCGTAATCCCAGTATTGCAGCTTTTATAGACAGACGGACAGACTGACAGACGGACAGACGGACATGGCTAGATCGACTCGGCTGTTGATCCTGGTCAAGAACATTTACGTATGGGGTCGGAAACGCTTCCTGTTACATACTTTCCGACGAATCTAGTATACCCTTTTACTCTACGAGTAACGGGTATAACAAAAGGAAACATTATAGTCGACGGCCTCGAATATCATAAACCCGTTACTCAGCTAAAAGGAAGTGCGAGGAAAATGGAGATAAGAAAGCAGTAAAGTAACTGTTCCCGATATTCACACCTATCATCGGTTCCTTAAATGGTCGAATTTGAATAATTTCTTGTCTGTAGCGTTATGGGCGTTAGTATTGGCGTGTCATCCCGCTAAAACGAATTTGCGCTGCGTAAAAACAAATAGAATCAGTATGTTTCATTCCAAAATTCTAACTTTTATAGTTTTTGAGATCTCAGCGTACATACGGACAGAGAGAAATTACTTTTTTTATTTTGTTTATAAATTAGAATGCTACAGTGACGCATCTATACGTATTTATTACTATAAAATAAAATTGTATAACTATAAAAATAGTTATTTAATTACAATCCATAACTACATCTTATAGTACCCCTAACGTTTACGAATTATGTTAGAGTAACTGTTTAATAAGCAAAATTGCCAACTCTATGGTTGGGGACCGTTTTACAATAATATTGGTCAATTTAACCAATGGAATTTTTGAGTGCAGTGACGAAGCGCACCAGGAGAATGTGCAAAGGCGACGCGGCAGTCCACGTAGTGGCGATCGCGCAACTGGAGGGTGTGCGAGGGCGATTACTATTCATAGCTGCAGAATGAAAAATCTGCTGTGATGGTGCGATCATAACGAGTGATACGCCAATCAAAAGGTATTGAAAAAATAATGTTGCTTGCCAACTCTTTAATAAAATCATTTGATATTGAAAAAAAGGGGTTAAATGGTAAAAGCGAAAGTTTAGAAAATGTAAGCTTTTGGGGCTGGTGGGGATTATGTACATATGCTCTAGGTTATTAGCCTAGTTTATTTCTTCCAGTGTAAGAAGGAAAGAAATAACGTTTATTTACTTAGTCGAATTTAAAAGCAAATTTCGTCACAAAATGTGATGTCAGAACTTTTGTAAGGTTTTAAGGTGCGATCGTCACGACCTCTTATCTCGTTAAGATGTTTTTTATTCATTATATAGCCGCAGAATTTAAAATGTGCAGTATTGGTCCCATCGTTACTCGTAGAGTAAAAGGGTGTACTATATTCGTCGGAAAGTATGTAACAGGTAGAAGGAAGCGTTTTTGACCCCATAGAGTGTATATATTCTTGATAAGGATCACTGACCGAGTCGATCTAGCCATGTCCGTATGTCCGTCTTTCCATTTGAACGCTGAGATCTCGGAAACTATAAGGATAATTCACCTGCAATTTTATTTTAAAAGTGGTCAACAGACTTCGCGCTGTTTCTTGTTTTAAAGTTAATTAGCTGAGTAACGGGTATTTGATGGTCGAGGCACTCGATAGACACTCTCCTGCTTTTTACTACGTTTTGCATCAGTGTAGATACTTTAGAATTCATTTCATGCGAAGGAGGATCCTCTAATAAACACCTAAAAATTAGGGACCAAAGCTTAAAAACATAAGTGGGTAACATAAACGAAGACAAATTTACAATGTTCGAGGCCAAAAGGTGGAATCACAAAACAGGAACCGTGAGAATGTCCATATGAACACGTGACGTATATAACAGCCCCACAGGGACCCACTAGCGCATGTATAGGTATCCCCACATACACATATGCTTATGTACATTTGCAAGGCCTATGTACTGTGTACACACTCATGCTTGTGTGCTCATCTACATGCAAATTTCACTTACGCGCAAAAAATTAATTATTGAAAAAATTGCGCGTCGGACATCCAAGGACCGCGAGAAACAACTCCAGTCCCCAGCACCCTCGCTGTCCATTAAGAGCTGGTGGGGTGGAGGGGGGCGAGGTGGGTGTGGGTGGTGTTGGGTGGCCATCGGCAATCGAAATACAAAAGTCGAAAGGATGAGCGCCCGCAGCAGCAGCGGGAGCAGAAAAAATTCAGCCATTACACATATTTTAAATGAATTGAAATAAAATTCGTATATAAAAATGCCCGTAAGAGTGTGTGTGGCCGAAGTACAGTTGACTCCACACATTTTCAACGGAAAATGGCAGGCAAGCAGAATTCGCAGCGACCGCGGCAGAGCCGGGGCAGAGGCGTGGGCAGTGTGTGAAGGGGGTGGGGCTGGTCGCAGAAAGGGGTTGCCCGGCCGAACGGTCAGTTGCCGAGTGTCCTGCCACACGAGGATGTGCGACAGGGACAGACACTGTCTGCCAACCCCCCAGGACCCCCACCAGCAAGTAGCTGCACTTTTTAATGTGTTGGGGCTGAGGATGCGTCGCCCAAAGAGCGCAATTATGTTCTCTCTCTATCTCTGGGATTCCGGATTTGCTGCTGTATCTTGTATCTGCATCCGTACGTGTGGGCCATGTCATTAATGACAAGTTTAATTTACATTCGCGGGCTCGCACTCTCTTTTTGGAATTGGTGCTGGGCTTGCAGTTGGCAACAGTGGAAGCCACCGAGCCCCCCCCCCCCCCTCTCAAAGGCACCCCACCACCCACAGAATCCGCTGAACCGCGCGCAAATTGCATTTTTCGGTTGCATTCTTTTCCATGCCGTTTCACTTAATTTTATTGCAGCTGCTGCGTATATTTTTCCGTGGCTGCGCGTTTTTTGCCAAGTCATTGAATGTAGTTTTTAGAGTCTAGAGCAAACGTGACATGTCATTAACGGGGGAACGGCACCATGTTTGGTTTTTGCCTATAACATCACAATTAATTGTAAGCTCGTGTTCTTTTCTGCTGCCGAAGGTTTTCCCTGCCGCCCAAACAAGGTGACTACAAACCTGGTCTTAGTCACAGAGATGCAGCTGCCCGGAGTGCTCCAGATCTAATCCCATTAGCACACTACCTCCGGGAACTCTTCGGTCCGTATCAGCCAGCTCTAATTATCCTCTCGCCTTATTCAGGAGCGCTATTCATAAATATTCAAAACAAACATTCCGCTTGACACATCCATGCGAACCCCCTTCAGCTGCAATGCAAGTGAAAGTCAGCAACTAGAACGGCAATTCCAGGGGAAGGATAGCAGATGAAGAGTCGCATGAGTGGAGTGGATGCTCGGGTGTTTCTCCACCTAATTCGGAACGATGGCTTTCACTAGCCTTGGAGGGGTGACTGAGGAGGTGCTTGGATTCATCGGAGGGTAGATAAAAGGAAGGCTATGTATGATGTGGATAGATACATGCAGCTATTCGGGGAAACTATCCCGGAAGTTGGGAGGACATGTGTGCCAAAGCCCTTATGACACTTGTTTTTTGACCTATCCTGTTTTACTATGTAAAATGGTATAGTTTTGTCTAGATGTAAACCTTTTTTCTCTATGTTGCATGAGTTTTTCAAGTAAATCTAGCCGGTTTGTCAAATATTAACCCAGTGTCATAAGGCCTTAAGAGTACCAACAAGGAAGCCAAGAAGCTTTTGAAGTATTCAGAATTCAGCGAGATGAGTTAACACATATGCTGGAGGGCAAAATGAAATGGGGGACCAGCTGAAAACTCTTTTTCATACCGATTCACTGCGTTTGTAATTATCAAGGAGTGAGGAATGGATTCCCGGACAGCTCCACTCTCTTTCCAAGCTCATCCAACCACGCCCACCTGCACACTCACAGGTGCCGCGACAAAAGATGGAAAAACTTAATTCTTGTTTGTCTTATTTTATTTAAAACAAACGGTGCACAATATGGCGGGGAAGAGGGTAGGCCAATGCATGTCAACAGCCTATCGCGAGGCAGCACAGGGCGTATGCGTAACATTTTCAGGCGCCCGTTCTGAGATCGCTCGGTCTTCTTTCTCTGAACGGGGGAGCTGGGAATGGGTTGGGGATTGTAAATGGGGTTGGGGGCAGCAGGGTGGGAAAACAGTGTGTGGGATGGGGCTGTCACTGTTCAAGTGGCGTTGTTCTCGTTAGTTGCCAT